CAAATGGGCGGCGCGACCCCGCCCATCGCGCCAAACGACCGCCTCCCAGGGAATGTATTATACCTGTACCGTTTCTTTATTTACTACTTATGAAATTCATTCCAGTCTGATGTATGCGGTAGATGGCTCTGAGTCGCGTAGAGCCTGCTACTGGGTTGAACCGAAAATGGAGAAAGACGAGGACAGGTATCGTCTGAAGATAGCAGTTTTGCAGGACTACTATGATGCTGTCGCCTTGGTCAGTTTTCGTTGTGCTCCCAGATGCAGTTTCATTTTTCATTTTCTGAAAATATGAGACGATTGAGCTTCACTCTTACTTTCAACTAATTTTTAAATCGGAAAAGGAGTGTCCTATTGGCCCCTCGGCCGCCACATTAATAAAGTCGTGATCGGGCCCATCAAGAAGAACCTTTAGTTCCATCTGGGTGTTGTGAATTATCCGTGTTTGGGTTTTATTTCCAAACTTATGTTTATATTACCTTTGTGCTTATTTCAGTTCTGTGAGATGCATCATATATTGCTATTGGACGAGTGACTGATTGAAATAGTGCTTCTTCAGATAACTCCTCAGTACGATCTTATCGCAATTTCTTTCGCAGATTGGGTGATAGAAGCTTTTATGGTCCTGAGACAGATATAGCAGTTCGAAAAACATTTAACGTACAATTCCCTCAATGAAATAAATAAAAGCAGTACAGCCGAAAAATTCACAATTATACAACGCAATGGAACAAGACGGGTAAGGACACGTTGTGGGAGATGAGCTATTCCTTCTACGATACTCTACGAGGAATCCGTCGTTTTGTCTTCATGCTGCATTAGAAAGGTTACGGCTTTATTCGTGTTAGGTTCGTGTCGAACTGCGACACTCACTTCGTTACCGTACAAGACGATTCTCATAATTATACAATAGGATAAGCTTCTATGGATGTTTGGTAACGTGGTCTAGGAATGTCTCAGGTATAACGCTTACAGTAATGTGTACAGGGAAAAGGTGGGAACCAAATGAAGCCTGTGGGCTACGGTAAAACTTATCAGATTGTAGGTTCGCGAGGCCTACATCTGATGGTGTAGCGGGAACGGGTGTTCTTCTGTGATACAATAGTCTTGCCTATATAAGTTTATTACTAATATAACATTATAAATAGAACAAGGGGAACGGGTCAGGACGAGGTGGCCACACGGCCAGGGCGATGTTCCATGGCGGCGAAGAAGAGCAAGTCGATCTGGCTAACAGCTTTTATATCGGTCTTGTGCGACGTTGCTTAAGTGATTGATGGCGAGCACATGATGCGGCGGTAGCGAAGCGAGGACTCGACATCTCCATTCCTTACAGTAAGCTCGTCCTCGAGCTTCGATCGTGCTTCTGGTGTGGCACAGGCATTCTTATAAAGCGTGAAGCTATATAAAACAGATGTGATGCATAGTACAACATTTGTGCCGTAAACGAACATTGAGTAAGAATGTTGAGTCGGAAGCAAGGAAAGGCGGCCAAAATTGTGCCCGTGGATGCATCGCATTGAATAGAATGAATTGTGAGTTTGGAACGGCTAGGACAGATAGATTTCGATAGATTGCGGCTAGATTTCGCCATTCTTTTGAAAAATAGGCTCGCCTTCGAGCCAGAAGTGGTATGGCGTGAAGAAGAGGGTGGAGGGGGGGGTGGCATCTTCATGATCGTAAATTGATGTCTAGCAAAGGATACAATGTGAACATGATTTTCAGTGGTTATACAATTATAACTATGATCGTGAAAATGTGGTATAGGCATTTTTCTCTTTTTTTTTCGATTAACATAGGCGAATATGAAGTCGTAGAGCTACTGATAATACTAGGATGATAAAATGAGTATGTGTTATCCATCATATTGAACGAATAGCACCCTTGTGAAACGTAATATTAGTCTATTTGAGCCTAAGGCGACTAATATACGAACAAAGTTGAAATACTGTGGTTCGAGTACTAGTCTATTGACGGCAGACTAGTGTCGACTAGTACGAGGGCGTAATTATGACTTTTGGTGTAATTGAATCGAGTGAGTACGCTGCGAAAATGTTTTCTTTGAACCGCCTATTCAAAGAATTTTGGAAGTATTCACGATTGCGGCGAAAAGAAGAAAGGAGGCTGAACTTATCACTAGAGACTATTCATGGACGTGATAGTCTCTATCATTATTCGTAATGACGCGTCACTTGAACTTGCTTTTACTGAGGACGACGAGAACGACGTATAATTGGTTTTTCTATGTCGTTTGATGCTTTCGCGGTTTGTGGTAAAGGTGGTGGTGTTTTGTTTGTGGTGGAAGGATCAACAGACATAGAACGCGAAGAATGAATCTTAAGGCGATCAATGTGAACATTTTGTCGCATTGGGCGACCTTTTAGATTTTTAATAGTCGCATTAGGACGATTGACTTCTTTAATTATAGAAGAGCCTTTCCACTGGTTAGTAAGTTTTGAACGAACCGTGCCGTTTTGCTAAAGAACGAGATTTCCAATGGAAATGTCCTTCGAATATACCTTGTTGAAATGTCGTATCCAAGCTTGTACTGCGCCGTCTTCAAAGCGTTTTCCCTGCCGACATCCATAATGACGTCTTTCATGCTGGTCGCAAATTGACCAGCGAAGTCGTCGGATGCCATCGAGTGTAAATAATCAGACCATTAATCGCGAGCATCGGAGCCAATGCGCTGTGAGAGAGTTAGTTATTACCTTGACAAGTCTCTCAGCTTGTCCGTTTGCCTTATAGTTATAACTAGTGGTGAAACAATTACTAATTCCTAGTGATTTATTGATTTTTGCAAAGTCTGCGCTAGTATATCCCATGTTCGACTTTCGATTACCCTCGGCATATTGAAATAGCTTCGTCGTAGGTTGTATTAGCCTTCGAGGTTTTTAACAACACTTTATTCACACGGCTTACGTTTCGGCAATATTGCCTTCGTCGGAGCCTGTAAGTCAAAGCTATCTTTGTGATCCGTGGGCCACCATTTAAGATTACAAGAAGAGAACTCCAAAGAAAAGTAAAACAGAAGCGATGAGCTGACCTGTAACCGGCTGGAGC